GGTGAGATAAAGGACAGATGTTTTTCAGCCTGGATTTGGTCCAGTTTCCACTGAACTCAATGGGATATGGGTTGAGGTTCTTTGTTTAGCTGAGGAATCTGCCAATCAAGCCATCACGTCAGTAAAAAAAAACAAACCCAGACAGTTTTCATATTGGAAACATCCCTTAGATATTTCCATTTGCAGTTACAATTCGTTCCTATTTATGATTCCAAAATTCTAGTTTGAATTTATTTTCATTATTTTTAAATTTTCAATTCCACTCAGTATTTACCAAGTATATACTGCGTGTAGCTTTTGGCAGTCAAGGTCTAGTCAGATTCTCTTACCTTAAAATAGCTTTGCAATTTCTTACTCTGTGTTAATTTGTCCTGGAACTGGTATTGAACAAGGACTGGCTAAAGCAAAGTGTAAATCTGTTTCTTACTCAGACTAAGCACTGTGGGTGAATATAGAAAACATACATCCAGACACTGTGATAGAAAGAAAGAACAGTCAATATTGATATGTATTTAATTTTTGGTTCTGATACTGGAACAGGACATTTGGTCTGCATTGTGAAAATACACAAATCCTTAACACCAGTGCCTGCTTGGGGAGGCTGAGAGTGGAGAGAGGATAAATAATTCTAAAGCAAAGTAATGATACTTGTAGCCTTTAGGTGTCTTTTCTATAGATCACTGCTAGCTCGTGATATACCTTAGTAGTTCCCTCACATAGGCCTTACTTGCAAGTTAATATAAACTTTCACCATCCAAAATAAATTGTTAAAACATGATCCTAAGAAAATTTATATAGAAGTCTTATTGGGATTTCTGTTTGACATTCCTAAAGTTATGCACTTATAAAGTGAGAGGAGGCCAGATGAGTATCTTCTCTATTATGACTTCTAATTTTCTTTTTTTTTTTTAAATCTTCCTGTTTAGACCAAGATTTCTGAGTGTCCTCATTGATGTGGTAAATGCTTTGCAGCAGAGCTGAGGAACTGCCTCATTGTCTGTGTCTGACACTTGTTTTATTGACCCCTTGTGGGTAGAATCCCACCTGACTGCAGGAGCTCTCACTGGAAGGGCCGTGGAGCCAGTTATTTTCAGGCAGTGCTGAGCACGGTGCAGGAACGTGCCCAGGACCACAGACTGGGTGTGTTAAGGAGTCAGGGGCAGTTCTTCCCATAGTTTTCTGCATTGTGTGGATGAAGGTATCACATAAACAGGATTTTTCTGATTAGTCCTTTTACTCGAGTGCCTGCTGATGCATCCTCAGAGAGGGACACATGAGCTGTGCAAGCCTGCCTGAAATCACAGGTCCCTCAGGATGGGTGTTGTGTCTTCAGCACCATCCTACATGTGAGGCTTCAAAGGGAATTTGAAAAAACCCACAATACCTGGTCACTCATCCAAAGTTGGGCCTCCTTGGGCGATCACTTTACATCCTGAACCACAAGATTTGATTACCCCTCGCTTAGCATGGAAATGTTGGTTTTGGCCATTAAATTATTCAGTCCCTTTTTAAAAAACTAGGTATTTTGTTTGACTCTGTGGCTCCTGTGGCTATGAATGGCACAGGCCAGGGCATGCTGTGTGAGCAAAATGTTCCTTTTGTTCTCAGCAACCTGCTTCTCTCCATGGTGCTCCCATGTTTTGGGCAGGGTGGAGAGAGGAGGCTGGTCCTCCACTCACCCTGGTATGGTCCTGAACAGAAATATTCCATATAGCCAGGAGCCCTCAAATGTAATGAATTAAGGAAGGTTAAGGATTTTTTTACATGCCTGTGAGAGTATTTATATGTCTCTCTATATAGCTATATATAGGCACAGATATATATTAAAAAGCCCCCAAAGGACCTGCAAATTTACAGAATTATACAAATTACAATTAAGGTAAAATATATGGTATATATTTATTATTACTATCCAAAGCAAAGCAAACTGTGGTTGTAGTACAGTATTAACAGGAAATGTGCAGGCTATTAGTTATTGAAACATACATGCCTGAGCTACTGCCTGGGAATTTTTAGTGCATCCAGCTGAGTTCCTGGTGTAAGTCGTTCAGTGTTTCATCTTCCACACAGAAAACATCTCCTTTTAGGCTCTTTTTTGTTGCTAGTGCATTATCTGTTTAATTTCTATCAGGAATGATTCCTCCTCTCTTTTAACAGTCTGAGTATCACAGCAACCTAATTAGTAGGCAGATATTCAGTAGAGAACTAAAACCACAGCACTGGGAGCTGGACAGTTTAGCTGATGAAAAACTCCCTTCAAGCGTGCCAGAGCACATTCACACAGCACACACACACACAGCAACATTTTAGGGACCAGCTTGAGCTGCAGGGGTTGTGATGAATATTTTAAGGAGACAAATCCCCATGCTGACCGCTTTTTCTAATATAGGCAGATTTTCCTGCTGAGCAAAGCCCTTTCCTAGTTAAAAACTGTGCCTTAACTTACAGGAAACACGTTAAATTCCCTGTTTGGGAGAGAGCGAGCAGAACGTGGTGGATTTTTGCTGTGACCTGCTGATGCTGTGAAACCCTTGCTGCAGAGGAGGCAGCCATGGTCAAGTGTTCCACGGAGCTTTCAGGGTTTCAGCTCAGGTTCCTGCTCCTAGGATACTGCTGCCCACAGCCAGCTATGTTTGCTGAGCTCCAGCTCCAGGGCAGCCGTGCCCAGTGGGAGCAGCGAGCTGGCAGCTCCGCACTCCGCTCAGCATTCCCAGCTGGAGCAGGGCCTGCACCCCTCCGGCCTCGCAGGGGGATCTCACCTCCCTCAACCAGCCCACTGAAAAGCACAAGCTCTGTCACAACTGTCGAGCTCACACACGGGAAAAACAGGAATGCAGGAGAGTGAGTGGGGACAAGCGCTGCTTTAAAAATAACAATAAAAACTGTTAAATTCTTCTCCCATGGTTTAAGATTTAAGTAGCCTGTGGGAGTAGTTAAAATGGGTAGGGAAGCTGGGATTTTCAGTATTCCCACAGCTGGATACCTAAGTGTACCATTTTTGTTCGACAGGCATCATGATTGCATAGAATTTAAAACCACAATGGCTCCCCCATCCCAGCAAAGCTCTCGGAGCAGCCCAGCAGGTCTCCACGGGGTGCTGCATTTCCCAGCAGTAGCCAGGACAAGACATTTCAAGAGCAGGCAGAGGAAACCCAACACAGGCAGTTGCAGCGGACTCTCCCCAGAAGCATTTCCCTCCCCTATTCAGAGTGGTTTCTGGCTCATCCCGGCCTTGGAGTTTTTAGTACATCTTTTGTTTCTCTTTCAAATGTGTGTGTGGTCATTATCCATATAAATGTCACTATCATGAGCTCTCTTAGCTATTATCTTTCCAATGAAAACAACTGCAGTCTTTTTAATCTCCTTTCAGATAGAAGCATTTCCAGGCTTCTCGCGGCATTCCTGGCGCGTGGAGCACAATGTCTCCATGAGCGCCGTAGGAGGGGGCTGGTGACCGGGCTGTAATTCCCCATGCTCCTGTGCCGGCGCTCGGGAAGAGACCGGAGCAAAGGCTGTGTGTGGGTGCCAGCAGATCGTGTCAGCCCTGCCGGGGAGCAGCAGTTCAGCACAGGCAGCAGTGCAGGGCCTTTGCTCGGGACCCGACTCGCAGCTCGCTGGGGCTGAACTGCTGCGCCGCCGAGACCCTGGAGGAGAAGCTGCGGCCGCGGGACCTGCCCTTGGCGTCCGGCGGCTGCTCAGCGATGAACTCGGCATTTCCCCCGGAGCATCCGCTGCGAGCCAGCCCCGGCTCCGGACAGCGTTTGGTCTCTGCCCCGAGGAGGGCACAGGTGGCCCCTGCACCCCCTGGTCCCTTTTTGGCACCTCTGCAGCCCCAGGCCTTTACCAAAGCAGAGAACAAATAAGATAATCCTTTTTAATTGCATGTTGCCTCTTAAAATTGGACTTAACTCCTCTTTATTTTACATATTGCTGGTCAGTGCTTATTGGGAGTGGGGGTGTCTTCCTCACAAAACCCCCTGTTTTCCAGTTCTTACATATTTGACTCGAAAATATCCTTGCATTCACTCATTTAACAATCCTAATTTAATTCTTCAGTTCAGTTTGGGGATATTCAGACTCTCCATGGTTTATATTATATGTCTTGTTTTCCTGCTTCGGGAGATGGAATTATTTCAGCATCAGATGGGCTTGGACTGGTTGATTTATTTAAGCTCCTTTTAATAGAGTGTTGCTGTGACAGCTTTTGGCAGTGTTCCTCTGCCTCTCATGGTAAATTTGATTAAGCTGTTGTCACCATTAATTCACAGTTCCCCTCTATTTACCTCTTGCACACTCCCGTGTAGTGCTTAACCCTAAGTCAGGCACAGCCTCACTCCCTCCCCAGGGCCATTCCCAGCTGCTCCAAGAAGCAGTCGTGTGAGATGATGGTTGATGGTGTTTGAGTGGCCTGTGCAATGGCAGAGGAAGACACCAGTGAGAGAGGTAGTTTTGTTTTAGTTGATTATTTGTATGCCTGCAATGGTTTGTGCTCAGTAATTCTTTTTTCCAGCTTGGTGACACGTATTATAACCTCCAGAGGTTGTTTTATTTCTATGCCTTGGGACCTGTAGCTGTGAAGTTTCCACAGGGTGGCTCTTGGGGAGGTGGATTTTTCCAGCATCTGAAGGTTCTGGAGCTGCTCAAAGAAATGCCTTTTTTTTTTACCTACATCTTCCACTTCCTTTTCTGGATGTGTATCTCAGTTCATGAAATTTTAAATTCAACCTGAGCTGTGTTTAAGTTGCTTACTGAGGAGTGGTGTCATTTTGAGCCTGCCATTATGGCTGGTACAGGAAATCAGTGTAAAGGAACAGAATTCCTTTTCTAAGTCCCTTTTCCTCCTAGCGAATACCTGGAAGTAGCATTGCATTGTTGTCCTTTTTTTTTACAATATAATTTGTACCTGTCATGTGACCATTATGGAGATAATGCCATTGGAGTATTCCTTTCCCCATACTGTGATGTGATATAGGAAGTTTTCCTGTATTTTCTTTTTCTAGGCTTGCTCCCAACATAATCTCTCCACTTGTCAGCCCCCTGAAAGCGTTAGTTCCACCGTCCCTCCTGCAGAAACACGGCTCTCCATCGTCCCACAGCCAGTCACCAAACGGGCAGCAGTTTTCTGGAATTCCAAATACACCTTACGCTCCGTTTCAAAACCAGTCAGTACAGCAGGGAGCTCAAGGTAACTCTTCCCTCTTTGTTTTTCTTTTTTTTTCTTTCAACTCTTCTAATTCCTACCTGGGGAGAAAGGATTTATTTCACTTTTTCATGCTCGGCCAATACTGTCTTATTAAGGGACCGTCGGCATTTCAGTGGGAACTCCAGTTTTTAAACTGGATTGATGTACATACAGATCAAATTTTTCAGGCAGGTTCATGCTGCAACATGTCATCATCAAGGGGAAAACTGTCACAACAGCAGATTTATTGCATTTATTCAGGTTTTGCAGTAGATGGTGATGGCCATGCCCTTCTCCTGACTGGTCATCCAGCCTGGAGAGTGACCCTGCAAGAACCACATAGTCCCAAAGGACATGGGCTGAGGCACACCTTGGCAGTGTCCTGTTCAGCCCACTCACAGTGAAGCACTAGACATGAGACTGGACCAAGAAAAAATATTTTCCCATTTACTACTTGGAAGTTTATCATGTGTATTATTTTATATAGTAATATGCAAATGCACTCTGAACAACTGTAGAGTGCCTGTGGGATTTGAGGACAGGAATGGGAGCAGCTCAGCAGCTGTCCCACTGCTTAATTTAAAACATTTTTTGTTCTGAATTACTCAGCCTTTTTAATTGGGAGCTTATATACCTATTCTGGAGTTCTGCTGAGGGAACTAATTAATGTTCCTGCAATTTTTGAGGCATAAATTAGCAAGAGATGTTATTATCACAGATTCTTCCAGTCACAGGAGCTTGCATATTTAAGAAACATGTTATACAATCCAGATGGGGTGAGCTGCTTAAGTGTGGTAAATATTCCCAATAAAGAAGCGTGCCGGACATCTGTCTGGCTGCAGGGATAACCTAGCAGATAGGTTTATCCAGGCAGATAAGCAGCTCTTCAGGACTTGTTTCACAGCTGTATTGTCATTTCTATAAGGTCATTTTTGGCTGCTGAAGTATCACATGTGATCAGTTTACCAAGTGAGTAAAATAGGAGGTTTTGCTTTCTCTCACGTGCTCTGGGTGGAGCTGAAGCCCAGATCCTGAACACAAAGCCATGGGCAGCTCCCAGCTGTGGTGGGGTTGGGTATCCCAGCAGTTCCCTCTGCCCCTCGTTCTCTGAGGAGTGTTTTTGCTCCTTGGTTGGACAGGCTTAGTCTGAGAAGTTAAAGTGTATTATATTTAATGATTTGCGCTGAAGGAAAAACTAACTCAACCTGATGCTCAACAGATTATTCAATTTAAAAGGATTAACTCTGTAAGGGAAAAGTGGCAGATTTATGATAGCACGTAATGATATATGATTATGTTGCTATAATGAGCTAAATAACTACAAGCCACAAGAGGAAAGTTTAGCAGCTCATTACTACGGCAGAAACAAATGCATAGACAGAACAAGTTTTGAACCACTTAAATAAATTGACTTTATTCCTTAAGAAAACCACATTTCCTTTTGAATGAATTGTTGCTTTCTAAGTGTTGTGTCATGTGGTTTTGAAAAAGCAATAATTTTCCACTTTGGCCAAATGTTGAAGTATTATTATAAATTCATTATGGAAGTGGTCATTCCAAAATCAATTTTGATTAGCAGCCTTTGAAACCAATTATCTGTAACCTGTACTTAGCTGTACTCGCTCTACATCTTGGGTTTTTTCTTTTGCATCTCAGTTCATTAATAGCACATTTTTCTAATGGAATCTGTAATAATTCGGGAGTTTTGAGCTTTTGCCAAAAAAAGGAGCACCATATAAGCCTAGTGTAGAACGAGGCATCTGTACAGAAGCACATAAACATTGTGGCTGTGGAGTTTTTAGGGGATGGCAAGTTTCGTCAGGCTGGCAGCAGAAATATTGATAATGAAAGAATAAGCTGACATTATTTATATGTTCAAACCTAGATGTAGTAAGATCACATGGAAATTATTACATGCTGAAAGAATTTGGCAGGCAATGGAATCCTGTAGTTATTTATACCTGACATGATTTCTTGTCAGAAATTTTATGGAATTTGAAAAGCTGAGATTTATTTGCAAATACGTGTAAATGACATGACATAACAAGATGGCATTTAATAGCCATATTCCAATTATTTGCTCATTACATCATTCCTTTTAAAGCTGCTTGAAGTTTTCTAGGCTGTGCCTTAGAGAAGCAGAGGCAGCCAGTGCACCGTGTGAAGTGGCTAAATGCAGCTTTTCTGTCACAAATTATTTCAGAGCAAAATTTTAACTAAATGTTATGTTTGGAACTCAGTTTATTCCTTTATGAACTGTTATATTTCTACATCTACTGTACATAAAACATTTAATAGTGATCCTTTAAACTGACAGGGCATTTAGTAAATTATTCACTTGAAAATTAACCTCAGAAAATTCTTGATTTAAATCAAAACTGAAGGAAAACCTGAAATCCATGTGGCAAAAAAAATATTGCTGAAACACTTACTGCCGAGTTGGTACTCCAGATTTGCTCTCCTAGAAGGAGCAGGGATGTCTGCACCAGACCAGCCTTCTTGCCTACTTTGTATTTTAACCCCCAGAGGGAGTCTTTTTTAAGAACTTATAAAAAATGCTCCCTGCTTAGTTTACTCTAATCAACCATATGTGGTTGTTAATTCGACCTTTGGCTATGGGATTTGAATCATATCTTAATTATTAGTATTTTCTGTGTGAAGCATTTCAAGAAATCTAAAGGAACCACAACTAATGGCACAAACCCAAAGGGTTAGAAGTTCCATTCATAGTGTCGTGGTTTGTTTTATCTGACCCCTGTTCCTGCTGCAACTTTCCTCATTCCATGTTTTTTTTGAGTTTGCCTCCTGCATTTATCACACCTGCTAGGCATGTTAAAGCAGGGAAGGTGCACTTCTCTCTATTTTGTTTGGGAAGCACTTAGCAGGAATCCAGTCCTGGTGAACACAGCAGTGCAATAACACTGGCATTTTCCTACACCGTGTCTCCTCATCGGATAGGACAGAGAAAATACACATCATGCCTTCCCTAGGAGTGATGTCAATAGCAGATGTTCTGGGAAAAGTTCATTTTTTTTTCTAGAAATACATCTGAGTGCTCTCTGCAACCAGTTGTACCTCCTCTGAAGCCAAGTGTCTCTTTTTTTTTTCACTGCTCATCTTGAAAAGATGTATTTTTAGAAGGCTTACAGCAAGGAGTTTGTGCCTTGTAAACAGAAAGGTCAGGATAATTATCAAAGCCAATCAATAAAGCACTGTACCTAAACCCACATCAAAAATGGCTTTGCTCCCTCTCATAAGAGCTCTTTGGTTCTTTGAACCAGACTCTCCAGGCTGTAAACAGAGGTGGCTGTCTATTTATTCCAGGGAAGGACATGCATCATTTAATACTCAGCTTTCCAAATTTCTGGGCCTTCTCCAACATAGCAGCAAATAGGACCAGCCTTGGTACAGTGTGTGTAGAGTCTTTATCTAATAAAGTCATCCACTAGTACTTCACCAATCATGGAATCAACATTTCAGGTATTTTGTGGGGGATCTCACGCTCTCAAAAAATTAATCATCTAATCCTTGCAGATTCTGCCAAAGCACATATTAAACTGTGAAACTTAAATACAAATCTTTCACCACTCAGTGAGTTCATTGCATTTCTACTCAAGAATTGCCTCACTTGGCCTTATTTATTACACCTTAAGAAGCATGACCAGAGTGAACAGACCCTGAGCTTTGCCTGGTAGTTAATACGAGTGTGTGTGATGCACCTGGAATCAGGAAGGGGTTATTGAGGCAGGAGGAAGGAAGAGAATTAAATCAGGCCATGGCTTGTATGAATCTTGTGGCATGCACTGGGATCATCCTTATGGGAGCAAATAAGAACTTCTTTTTAGGATGTGGCACAACTTGTAAGTTGTAAAATTCTTGCCTCAGCAATTCATTTGTCCTTTACTGTTAAATATCTTCTTTTGTTGTCTAAAACTCATTCACAGCTTCTGATGGCAAAGCCCAAACTGCTGGGTTTTGGTAATGCAACACTTTTAAAACAAAGCAGGATATCAGAAATGTTGGGTGTGTGGGGAACAGAAGTTCAAACGTGCCCCAAAAGCAGAAAGACCAAGGCAGATCTGTCTCAACACTTCCAGAAGCAGAACAGCCTCTGGCTGAACTCAGTCTTCACCTGACATCCATCTGGAGTCAGTCCCGCACCTCTGGTTCAATTTTACCCACAGACTGTGGCCCCTGTGTTCAGTGAAAAGGGTTTCATTTGAATCAAGAGCATCTGAGAGAGGTTTAAGGTACCCATAAAGGTATTTCAGATAACAGTGTGTCTCCAGCAGTGCAGAACACACACTGGATGGGAAAAGACTTCACCAACTGAAAACAAAGCAGTGCTATTCATTTAAATATTGCATTATTGCATTTAAATTAACAGTAACTCGTTACAGAGACAGTTCCTTAGGATCTGATTATCCTGGATCTGATCCAGGGGAGCACTTACTTTGCTTTGAACCAAGTGGGCTGTTGACTGTGTTCAGCTGATCTGTTGCTTGAAATGAAGCACATCCTTGAGATTTCTGCTTGATGGGGATCACAGTCCACAGCACCTTGTGGGACTGAGTCTGATGCAGCTCTTCTGTTATTACACTTTATAGAGCAGCACAATCATCTTTCCACAGTTAAAACTGAGGAACTAAACCTCCCCCAACAGTAATGGAATACTGTGACAGAAATGGAGCCAGTACCACTGCAGCAGGGTTAAAATGTGTGTGCAATATCTGCTTTCAGGTTACCAAGGCAGCTTTCACTCCATACAAAACTGTTTCCACTATGGAGACTGCTACAGAACAATGGACCAGTCTGTCACCAGTGATGTGCTCACAGGGGAATCCCATTGCTTCAACCCTCTGAGGCAGAATGGCTATCACATACTCAATGCACCTTTAGCTTCAACAGGTAATTTATTCCACCAGTAAAGAATTATCCATATGATATTTTCAGCAGGAAGGGGAAAGAAGACATTTTTACAGTCAGTGTTATTACAAAAATATGTTTGTATAAAAAACTTGAAATTCATTTGCATCTGTAAATATCCCAGAAGGAAAGCAGTTTTTTTTTTATTTTAATCCTGCTCTATTTGACTGATGGACAAAGTCTTCTTCTGATGGATGTCATAGGCAACACACACCTTCAGGAGAGCTTGGCAAACAAGGCACTTCTCCCATTTATTGTGTGGGCTGTTCACTGCACATCTCAGGTGTGCTCAGGCAGGTTTTTATAATCAGGTCAAAGTTATAATTGCTAGATTACTATAATGCTTCAATATTTTAATATCCTTTTCTTTTTCTACTTTTAAAACCACAATTAAGAATGGTCAGAATTACTGACAGAATTACTCACAAAAAGTGAGTATTGCCATGAAACACAACCATTTGCCACAGTCTTTACTGATGTATCTCCAAGGAAGTTTTCTCCATGTCTGTACTCAAAAGGGCATCTCGGTTAAGGACGATACTGGAAACATATGTTTAAATGCTTTTTGAAATGGGCCTGAGTCAGACCACAAAATTAGAGTTGACTTTCCTGTTTGTTTTGTATTAAAGGAGACTGTTCAGAGGGAGCGTGCACGCATTTGTCTGCTGCTCCATTCTGGAAAGTGTGTGATCAGTAACCAACACAAGGGAAACATTTAAGATGATGTTTCAGCTTCAACTTTGAATTCTTTGGTGTTATTCATAAGTTTGATGTTGCTGAAACATAGCTTTTTTTTTCCATGTTAACATCAAATTTCAAGTATAGATTGACAGCCTGCAATATTTAAAGAACAGACTAAATAAACTTTCCAAAAGAAATTGTAGCAGCAAAGAATAATACTGTGGCAAGACACCAACTTCAACAACAGTTGATTTTTCTGTCTGGGCCTAAACTATCATGAAATGTTTCTGTTTAATATTTTTGTTTTTAGAGTGGTTATTGAGGCATGCAAATACTTAAAAGGCTGAAACATAAACATATATGAAACATATAAATCTCATCTCATCTTTTAGCGTGTAAAATAGAACCATTCAGGTTTGCAAGATTCATCAAGGCTACACATTAACTTTTTTCAGGCTTTTATAGCACCATTAATATTAAATGAGATCTCATCTCGCAGGAATGCCAAATGTGACTGGCAAACAGCTGTTCCATGAATCACATTAACAGTCAATAAATTTTTATTTTCTGTTCAGGACGTTGGATAGTTTACTCTATCTGCAATCTAATAATGATTTCTGGGGTGTATGCTTATCTTGGGTTTTGTCCATCTGTGGTTGTGTATCCACCCTGTATACAGGCCCATCAAACAGAAATTAGCATAACATAAACAGTTGCAAAACTTACCAAAATACTGGTCACTCTGCTTGGCTGACAGAGCACGGGGCAGATCAACAGGCCGAGTTCATCCTCCAGAACCTTTGGACATTCACTGTGTGCCAGATCTCTGCAGACAGCACAATCTGACCGGAGAACTAGCAGGAAATTCATACGTCATAGGAAAATGCAGAAATGTAAATAAGTAGAGAGTTGGTCTCAAAAAATAAAAATGTACCTACTGGGAAAATACCCATAATTAAGCTGACAGGTCTCTGTGTATCCAGGACTGGCTGTGTAAGATGCAGGATCTGTCCCTGGCGGGTGGTGCCTGCACAGGTGTGGGCAGGTGGGAAAGACAAGAGAAAGGGTAGGAGACAAACCTGCTCCTTCCCACAGGGATGTGCAGCTCAGGAGGTTTGCACAGGAGGTTTCCCACAGCTGTGAAAGTTTGGCATTATAAAAGGAGGAGGACAGAGAAATTCTCCCCCTCCCCAGTGTCAGCCTGGCAAGCAGCAGCCAGCCCAACCCGGGGAGGAGCCAGTGGGCTTTGGTGGGCTGAGGTGCTCAGCTCCTTCCACTCCTTCTGTGAGCCAGACCTGCCCCAGCCACTCTTCCTCAGACTTGCACTATGTAGGGAGCCACTAAATGTAGGATCCGGATTTCTTCTGGGTCTTAAGAGCAGCTGGGAGACACATGGAGCATTTTTCCCAAGTGCTATTAAAAAAGGAAAATCACAAAACAAGAGGAGTGCATCACTTTGGGTGCACACTCCGTAGGATCTTTCCCAATCATTGTTTTGACACCCTATTCAGATGATGATGACTGTGCAGTCCCCAGGGAGCCACACTCTGGTCCTTGCCCTTCACTGGCAAGTGCCTGGCTCTCCACAGGATGGGCACTTCAGCTGTGAACACAAACCCTGGAGATCAGTCCGTGTGTGCATCTCTGGGGGAGGCTGTAATGGTAAACCCCGGTCTCGTCATTAATGCTGTGCTGTCCTGTGTGATCCCAGGCCTTCCTCACCTGTACTGTGGCACTAACTCGTGTCCATCCCCCTTGTCCCATTCCAGGCTATGACACAATCCCTGAAGCACAGTGTGTGTCCGAAGACTTGGTCTCCAGCGGAACGGATGAAAATGGGTTCTTCCAAAACGGCGCCTTTGATCACTGCTTGAATCACATTCCTTCCATCTACACAGATACCTAAAGCAGTGCTGGCCTTGTTTCCTTTATTATACCTATAACTGTGTATGTAATAACAAAGGGTTTGTTCAAGTACTTTTATTTAGTCTGTATCCTTGTATGTGCTCATTTAAATGAACACCTCACATTTACCAAACCATTTTATACATGAATAGTCTGTATAAGATAATATTGGAAACCTGTTCCTTTGCTGTGGCACTTTGAAATTCATGCTTTAAGGGAATGAGGAGCATTTTAAGCAGCTTGTTTTGTAAGTTCTCTCAGTAAAGTGTAAATGTAAATTATATAATAAACTTGTAAAGAAGAGCTTTTTCATCTTGGAAAGTATGTTTCCATTTGAGAATGTTGTTCCCTTTAATCAGTTTTCATTTAACTTGTTGGTCAGTTCTTCTCTTTTTTTCTTTTTTTTTTTACTAAAAGGACTTTTTTTAATCACAGACCTCATGTATATAAAGATCTACATTTGCTCGGCTGGTTTTGTATTTTCAGTTTTACAAGAAAGCATTAAAAACTGGAAACAAGTGTACTGTCGTTCCTTAACACAGTCTGTCTCCCTGATAAATCCTGATATTACATTATTTAAATTCCTGAATGATTTTAACAAAGCAGTGACATTTCAGTCACTGTGACATTAAAGCAGCCCAAGTGAACACGATGAAAACCAAGGGCTTCCAGCAGCACAGGCGTCACCTGCGGCAGTTTGGCTCCCTGTCACTGTGGCTGCATTTCCCAGCCTAGTGGTGATCCCTGGGATTCCGGGTATCCTCCAGGGGCTCCCAAGCTGTGCCGAGCAGGCACGTTAGACCTGAGCTTCTGAAAGTGTCCCATGGAGGTCTGTGAGAACAGTAAGGAAAAACTAACTTAAAAATGTAAAAAATTGTTCCCATTTCCAAACCCCCCGTAAGTTGGGCCTAATAAGGGATGTCCAGGCTGAGCATCAATCCGTGCCTGTTCATTTACAGCCCAGAGTTACCCAGGCTGCCACAGGGCACCACTGAAAAGCTGAACTGGGTTGAAACCAGTCAGTGACTGAGGGTGGGAGTTCCCCTTTTTTCATCCCTCCAGAAATGGGAAACAGCTCGGGTCCAACATGACACCTGTGTCCCAGTCCCAGAACTCTGCAGCCCAGGATCTGCTCCTGCAAGACCATCCCCATCCCCAGTGCCACTGCGCCGCTCCTGCAGCCTCTGCAAACGTGGGAAACCCCCTGGATGCTGTTCCACCACAGCAGCCCTGCACTGAGGCTGATCCAGGCTGACCACAAAGCCGACATGGATGCGCTTGTTTCTCCAGGGCCTGGTTGCACCTTGTCAGTGCACGTGAAGGGGCCTCTGTATCCAATTTAGCTTTCTGTCCTCAAGAACTTTGAATGAAACTCAGGCATCCAGGAAGTTTTACAGTTAGTCACTGCAGAACAAGGTTCATGGGGTTATGTGACCCCCCCCTCTTCCATACAGGGTTCCTCAAGATCTCTGGCTCTCAAGGACACCCAGGCCCAGCTGCAAACCCGTTAATTGTGGCAGCCTGGCCTGGCCCCAGCAGCCCCTGGCAGCACTGACTCATCACTCCTCTCCCAGAATTAAAATCCATAAAGGCTCCAAATTGTGCCTTAAGCCTACACACGTGGCTTTGCTTCTGATCACTGCCACATTTGGCTTTCTGTCCTGTTGTTTGTTTATTCTGATGCATCAGAGTTTGAGTTTTTTTCGGTCTCAAACATAAGTGGGCAGAACTCATTCCTAGGACATTAAACAAGGAGGAGGCAGGTAGCTTAACAACTGCCAAGCAGGAAAAACTCTAGAGCTTTTGAAGGAAGACTTAGAAAAAACATATCCAAAGCCCAACAACGCTGTAATGTCTGAGACAAAAATCTAAATAATTCCTGTGCTTCAGTTAGTTGGAAACACAAAAAGGAAATCGTGTCTTAAAAACAAGATTAATTCAATTTCCTAAAAATTAAATAAATTCTTCTAAAAATGACATTTTTTTTTTAGTTAAAAATATAAACCAACCAAACCTAAACATATTTGATCAATTACAAAAATATTTATGTCACAACAACCAGGCTGTTCAAAACCACACAATGATTCACAAAGGTTTGGGAAACTTAAAGCGTAGCAGCTGGAGTGATGATTTAATTCCACAATCTGTGTGAATCAGGTTTTCTGTAAATTAAAAGGATAGATTCAGAGAAATGCAAAGGCACTCGTTTGAGTCTGTATGGTTTGGAAAGTTATCCATAATAAAACCATTAAAATACACAATAGCCCAAGTTAATGGTTACTTGTGTGCTGTGTACTTCATTATTGCCTTTTATTACATGTAAGTAGGGAAGTATCTCATGTAAGCTTTTCCTAAAGACACAAAGAAACCTTTCAATGGAATTTATTGCTTGGCAAGTTTCTCATTGTGGTGCTGTAAAAACCCCACCAACTAATACTTATAATAACTGGGGTAAGGCTTTATATATAATGTAGAAAATTATTACCCTGTGGAATTAAAATGGAACTGCTGGTTCCAGTTGACTGTCAGATACTTTTTCAATCTAAGCAACAGAATTCAACTAATAAATTACAACACTGCTTTATAAATAGCTACAAATCATTTCCCCAGTGACTGAAAACCCCATTTACCCCGTGTATGTACTCTGTGTGCACGCAGGACGCTGTAGGGACGACTGAAATAAGATGACCTTCAGTGGCTGATCCAGCTGGGAGAGAGAAAATGAATTTGAAGTTGACAGTGAAGCACTAAGGCCGTTCTTTGGGCTCTCCACCAGCCGGGCTGTGAGCCAAACTTTCAGCAGGACTTCGGAGCTTTTAATGTGATCAAGCCCGAGCTTTTCATTTAATGGAAAACCAAAATGCTTGTTCTGTTCCTGTTCAGTGCTGCAGCACCTCACAAGCTACAGAAGTGACCATCAGAGGTGCCTTTGCAGGTGAGCTGAGATGTGCACACAGTCACAGAATTGTTTAGGCTGGGAAAGACCACCAAGACCATCAAGTCCAGCATGTGGACAACACTTTTAATGACCTCATTCCAATGTGGCACCACGGCCCAGGAATGTGCAAGCCCAGAGGCTCAGGTGTGCTGCAGGAATGGCTGTAGCCTGTGGCAGGGATGGGATGTGCTCCCACGGAAGGAATACAGGCGGTGAGTACGTTCTCAGACTGTACTTTCTACTTATGTTCACACCAAACAGCAGGAACAGTTGCTGCTCGTGGAAAGGCTTCCCTGCTCCTCAGATTGTCCTTTCAACTGGATACATTTTCTAAATGGTGAAGCCCAAAAAACCAAATTCCAGAGCACATCAAGAGCACCGGTTGGATACTGCAATAGCTGTTATGCAAGCAGTGCAAAAAAACCCCAGTGCTTAAAACAACCACCAAGTATGTGAAAATAAACAGTGACTGTAAATTGAATTTAAATTGCATAAGAGTCAAATATTTCAATGGGGTTTGTGTTATGATCTTATTAAAAGGTACATGATTTTAGTTCAGCTCTCCAGTAATGTATTTGTATTAAATTAGATCAGTGCAACAGAAGATGAAAAAATAGCCAGCCTGTATCATTTAATTCATTGACAGCACAAAGCCATTGGAATATTCCCTCCTGAGATAAGCCCTTCTGAGATCTGCAGAGTTACACTAAAAGCTCCTCTCTGCTTAAATTTCAAAGCAAACTGCAAAATCCCAAAGTGATTTGGAGTCCACAGCCCAGAGTCAGCAGGAGAGCTGTAGCCATCTAGACTGTCAAAGCCTTGCAAGGCCATGTGTCAGCCTCTCAGAGCTGCAAAACCTGTCAAGCCATGACAGACATTTTTCTTTAAACCATCTCAACTATAGAAAGTCCCAATCCAGTCACAGCCCTTACAAGACCAAGCTTTCTACTGGATTCCTACTGAGATGAAATTTGCCCATTCCTTTGGCAAAAAAGATTTTTGTAGTGGTGGTGAAGCCAGAAGAAAATGAAATAATTCTTCTGTGCAAACACAGATTTTCTGGCCAGAGCCAGTAACTCTCATTCAAAACCAAGTGACTCAATTTTAAAAGTGCATTTCTGGACCTGTGTTATATAGAAGTTCTCCTCAATTAATTAAAAACACCAAGAAAAGCATGGTGTTAGTTTTCAAAACTTTAGCAAGTTTCAGCCTTTTTGATTTTTCCAAAGAGTTTCACCCTCCTTTCTGAGAGGCTGTGACTCTGAACCCCCAAAGTGAGCCCATGGGGCAGGCACTGGGCTAGAATGAGCTGCTGGATGATACAGAGACATGGGAGGGCATGTGGAGACACTGGCCAGGGACTAGGCTAGGAAGGGAGTGCATTAAATGGTTTATTGTAGGATTAGACCTGTTTTTCCATGCTTTAAGGTTTCCTTCATTCTGGAAGGAAATCCCCCCCTCCCTGGGGCAATGGCAACAAGAGAGTCCCAGAGCAGCTCTTCTCCTCCCAGCATCTGAGCTCAGCGTGTTCAGACAGCAGATTCTGGGTCTTCCTCTTCAATAACTAAGGAAAGGCTTCCTTTCACCGTATTCCAGGTGCCCATGAGTTGTCAGCTTCCTCTCTGGCACTGGGAAGGGAAAGATGCCTCCGAAGGAGGAGGCAGCATGTCCCAGGATGGAACTGAGGAGGCACAAATGGACATCAAAATTCAGACAACGTAAATCCCTCCCAGGACATCTCCTGGGACAAGGAAGGCTGAGCCTGCGCTGTGCCAGTGTCTTACATCGTTCCTAAACAGCCAGGGCTCTTTTCTGAAACAGGGCATGACCTCCCCCAGCAACCTGAGCAAACCTGGTACCAAAGAAATCCCTCTGAACCGTTTGCCCTGAATATAACCCAAACTGCTGAATTGCAATGGGCTGAGAGAGAGATTTTTAAAGGCGTCTGAACACACAAAAATGAAAAAGGGCATTAAGTGGGTTTTGTTTGTTTGTTTGTTTCACAACTGCCTTAAATTGCTTTAATTTCAACTCCAGGGTTTCATTTCCTTCTGAGAAATCCTCTTAGGTGCCTATTTGCATCTTCAGGCACATTCTGCAAATCTGGGCTATATTGCATAATGAGTTTTCTCTCCTATCTCTTTCAGTTGAGAACCACACATTTGCCTAAGGAATTCTCTGTGGAGCTGAAATCTGTTAGGATTATAAATACAGGCTGAGCTGGGAACAGGCACTGGAAACTGCCATGAAGACCATGAACAGAAAACAGTGATTCTAGTCACACAAGATACCTGATATAGTTGGCAGGAAGGCAAAGCTAAACAAATGCAGGTTTACATTTTACTATTTAAAGAATAAAATATTCAACTTGAGTTCCATTAACACCTGTCAGGACTTTGGTACATACTCAAATCCACATTTCTAATTTTACTGCTAAATAATCCCAAACTTGGCAGTTGGAAGGTAAAGCAAAATACCCAAGCTAAACATCTGAAGCAAATTGTAGCTCTCTGGAAGAGCCCTTCTGCTATATAAATGAAGGTCATATGTACAAATGATTAGAAGCTTAAGGAAATATGTCTTCTGCTTTTCTAAATTGATAACATACATATTGCATTAATATTCCCACATCAATTATTGGACACGTTCCCTGCTGTAAGAAAAACGCTATTTTTTTTTTTAAATAATAATCCCTTGGAATAATATTCTTATACCAGCACAATTAACTCTTGCCATGCAGAGGGGAAAGAGGTTGATTTAATAAACTACATCCAAAAAGTGTCAGTCCCTGGAGATGCCACCACCACCTGGGTGCACCCTGGTTTTGGGGGATGGTCAACAAGATGCAAGAGTTGTCCTTTCCCTGGTGAAAAAGGGACAGAGGTGACAGGTCCTGGTGGGGATGGGTTGGGGGGAAGCAACCCAGATACTCTGCCTTTGGTGTTACTGCCATGGCAGCTGCACCGATGGCAAACCTGGGAGCTCTGGTTATTTACCAACAGCAAAATAAACCCAGCCACAAGACTCCTGAGACACTTGTTTCCTCTCTGCAAGGAGCAGCTTGTGCTTGGCAGCAGGCACTGGACAGGGTCTGACCCCAGTAGGTGGAGGACCCCCAAATGCCCAGGCCCTGCCACAGCCCCACAGCTGAACTCGCACAGGGTCGGGGCAGTGCTGCTGCTGGTGACAGTCACCCCTTTGGCTGCCACTAAGCCACACTTGCCAGAAAGAACTTAATCCCAGGGCTCATAAAAATACTTCTGAAACACTTTTTTTTTTCCTTTTGAAGTGCACCAGATCTCACAAAATACCAAGTATTTTCCATAAATGTTCCCAAGCTAAAATACACCTGAAGTCACCTCCACACGTCTGGCGAGGGGATAACGTATCCCATTACACCCTGAGCACCCAGTGCATGGCTGGAGACCCCCCTTGCCAAAGGGAGATGGTCTTGGCACAGACATGAGAAAGCCCAGCTCTGGTGCTCCTTGCTGAGGATGGCAGAAGAGTCACCAATTCATCACGGCTGACACTGAGCACAGCAAGCACAAAAATGCAAACAGTATTTATCACTTCTGACAGATTCCTCTATTTTCTGCTTTTTATTAGCTGACAAAGCCAGGCTCTTTTTGCCAGAGACAAAAATCACTGGGCTGAGGGGTGGAGGGGGGAACAGGGGAATTATTTCCATTGAGAAACACTTCTGTATTTTTATCAAGCATCAGAACTGCGACAGATCACAGTTACAGTGACCTGTTACAAATTACGGTGCCACTTCCAAATTTTGCAAGACCGTAGCTTCAAATCCCATGTTTTCTTGTCCCAGTAGACGGAGGTGTGTGCAGATTTACAGGAAAAGCTACTGGAAATCGCTTGCCTATTGAACACCACCTTCCCTGCACGCTGACAGTCCTGGACTTTTCTGCTATTTCTCTTTCTCACAAGAGGGAGCTCCGGCTCTGGAATAACGGTATGGAAACGTCCTGCCCGGACCCTGCTTCTCTGCTGCCTCTGAAAACGCCCATCTCTTGTTCGAGGTCAGGCTTACAGGGCTCCGTTTGCAGTTAAAAAAAACCAAACACATCAACAAGACCTTGAAAATCAACGTGAATTTCAATGATCAAAAAAGTTGCCGTTGTTATCAATTTCCCAGAATTTTCCCGGCGAATTCAATGGTTTTGAGCAGTGCCAGGGAGAATAGTGATTGTCTCATAACTTTTGTCCCCTCAAAAATCAGATGGGCATTATGGCTGAGCAACGACATCTGATCATTCAGAAGTAATAAAATGGAATTAGACAACAAGAATACCAATAATCTTTGTAATGTCCATTATCAGTATCTTTCTGATGCAAAGACCCCACAGCAAATCCCAGCTAAAGTAGTATTTTGCACAGACTTTTGTTTAACCCCTCTCTCTATCCAAGTCCAATCCTGCCTCCTACCCAGACTCTTGGCCAAACTGGCGTCACCAGAGGATCGTGTGGGCACACCTTGGATTTCTGTGCTGATCTCATTATTCAAAATATTAAGAAAAAAGTCCCCTCCTGAAGGGTTTTCTACTAGTAACAGCTCTCCCTCTCAGCTCTCCTCCTTCCAGCACAACCCAGGTGGCCCCACACAGCCGCTGCACAGTTTGGGGGCTTCAAAATAAGTTATTGCAACACTCAAAGGCAGAGAGTTTATGTCAAGAACACTTCAGCACCCAGAAAACTGAGCTGGTCCAAAATCCAACACCGAGACTGTGTGTCCTTGGGCTCCCTCTGCTGACCCCAGGATTATTTACAGATCCAAACCCACGAGGTTTTGGATGAAGCATGAAGCTCTGCTATCACAATGCTGTCTGTAGTATTTCCAGTAATCCAGACGTATTCCCGGGCTGGTACCAGGTGGACAGGGCTCCTCTGGGGCAGGGGCAGAGGAATGTGCTGGAGACTCCTGTTTTTTAGGGAAACCAAACCATGATGGGCCCCACATGTGACCCAGACAGGAGCAAGTGCCACTCACAAACCTCAGGCAGCAGTGACAGGAAAAGGGTCGTGCAGCTCAAGGCCTGGAGCCCCGGAATCTCACTGGATGAGGCCCCAACAACTGGGCAAAGTGGGTCCAGGCTGAAAATCCGTCTGATTTACTGTAAACGACAGCTCTGTCTCAAAAATATAGATCTGCAAGGATCTTCCATGATCAGCAACCCAAAGACCTTTGTATTTGTCTAAGCCTGAGGTAAAGAAGGCCTGAAGGCTGCGTGGGGTCTGCACAGCATCGAGGAGCCACCTCCCAGCCCCGTGTTCATCCCCTGCACTCGGAGCTGAGCCGGAGTAATTAAATGCAGCACAGATCTGTGACAGAGTGTGAACAGGAATATAAAAAAGATTAAAAGGCGACTGTGGAAAGCTAGCATGCTCCTCACATAATTAAAACAAGTTGCTCAAAGGCTGCTGCTCGCCTGCTGGCACAGAGGCTCCAGCAGGTTTGCAGGCTGGGCAGGGCAGCAGTGCCGGTCCCAGGCACCCGGAGTCACCCAGGCTGTGTCCGGGTTCCTGGGCACCTCCCTGCCTTCCCTTCTCAGCACAGCCCCAAGCAATGTGCAGTCTTGCTCTGCCTCAGTTCCCCTCCACGTAAAGCATGTTAACATGCTCGCTCCCAATTTTAGAAAATGATTTTATATCCGTGGATTAAGGATTTTATATCCACGGATTAAGGGTCTAAAATTATCTCACTGACTTCCCTATTCAGCTCAGCTTTGTTTAATTAAGACTCTGATTAACTGCAAGAGGGAATATGACTGGTGCTAGCTAAAGGTTTCCTCAGACAATGATAAAAGTCTGCCTTTAGAAATATCCATTTTGTTCACAGTCTATGGCAAATACAAATGAAGTACAGTCTATTTAATACAAAATGTTTTTTTAAATACTATTAGCACCACATAAAACCTTTAGCCATGCAATAGATTCCCTCTAATCCTATTTTATTTTCTCTAAATATTTTATGTTATTTCTATGAAACATTTATTATACAATAAATACAAAATATTTCACTGCAGCAATTATTGCTGAATTGGCATTTATATTAGACAGTTTCAAACACTATAATCAATATAACTACATTCTTCTATATTATGTCAGGAAAACATTGGTTTAAAGAAACTTCCAAAATATTTTTTCTTTTTTTCCCAATAAAACTAATGCCTTACTTCCTTTCTCAGATCCATTTTAAACACCCAGCAGATTCCAACAGTTACAACTTAAACATTTGAAAAAATCCAAAAGAAGGAATTCACCATTTCCCTAAACTTAAGAATATAAAAAACACATGTCAACATCTAAATAAAAAATACTGAACTTTTTGCCAAAGTGGTTCTAGCAGTTATAGAAAATCAAAGTATATAAACAAGGGTAGAGCTCCCTTTGGGGAAAAGAAAAAAAAAAAAAAAGTTCTGAGTTCTGCAGCTCTTACTGAGTCACTTTATTCCCCTCCCAATTTTAAATTTTAGGGAAATGATTTTCTAGTATGGCTGAAAGTCCCTCGAACAATCTTTACTTAAGGATCACAGTGGAGAAAACAACTGCTCCCCAGGAGCAAACAGCAAACACACAAACCTGCCTGGCCACCCCTGTGGACTTTGTACGTGGCAGAGCCTCCTGTGCTGGGTCTCCGTTTTTTGCTTTTCCAGAGGTGGAAATTCATCTGTGGGGAACATCAATAGAAAAAGCTGGTTGAGGAGTTCAAGTGCCCCTTGAAACACAGCGACCACTCTGCCATTAAAGCCACTGGCCTTCATTATTCCATTAAGAAGGAGAAGAGGCTGAAATGGTCAGGTAGGTGATGGATTTGCATCTTTTGCTGCCAGGACTAAATTTCTTTATGCTAATGTGCAGTTTCCCATCTTGTAAGCTGGCTCTGACTTGACTGCACAATGAGTAACGGGAGGCAGTGCCAAGCATTTCCCTTCCAACCACCATCCTGTGACAGCAGCAGGCAACATTTGCACTGGAATTCAGTATTACAGCAAGAATGGAAAAAACCTCATCAGGGAACAAATTAGTTTAACTGAAGAAATGTCCCTGATCCATTCACTGCCCCAAAACAACACAACTTTCTCTCTGATCCTTTGCATACCCAGTCCTCCCATGAAACCTTGTTTTAAAACCAGCCCAAGTGGGACACAGGAGTTTTGATGCTGAAGTTTTTCCCTTGAACTGCTCAGCAAAGTAATTTGCTTTTCAGAAACTGGTGGTGCAGAGATGAAACGAAACACAGAGGCAAATTATTTTTAGTGAGAGAAGTAATTAAGATCATGAATGTACCTTACTGCACACGTGCACTTCTATATTTATGTTCCTTTTTGTACCATCTAAAAGTTATGCCTGGCACATGTACCTTAAAATTAAATGCTGCATTATTTCTCCAAAAGAAACCATAATGGTCCTTTGTAAATAATTTTATCTACTGTTGAGCATTTTACTAGTTTTGCTATGTTATACTATAGCATTTATTGTTTTACAAGTGTGAGCGTTCTCTGGTGGGAAATGCTGTAAAGAACATAGAAACTGAAATAATTTTTTCATCTACTGAATTTATAATAAACGTGGGACTCAACAGACAGTTACTCAAGCTGTAAGCCATTTGGTTTGTGTCAGGGGAAACGGGTTAATCAGGAGAGCCTGCTGTTCTGCACTGGCTAAACTGAGGGAAACACACACAAAATTAAACCTCTTTCCCTCTATCTATGGGATTTTCCAGCTAATGCAGTTTAGCAGATCTCCCAGTGCTTCCCCAGACCTCCTCGCTGATCCTTTAGGGATCATGTCCCAGGAGAGCAAGGACAACGTGCCCGGACAAAAGCATTTCTCAGCTCTGGGGATTTGCTCCCAAAGTGTCTGTGAGCTGTTTGGAAGTCAGTCCTGCTGGGCACCATCCTGCACTGGCTCTGCAATCTGGGGGACAGTGTGATAATCTTCCCCTTTCCCAGGACATCCCAGGCTGAACAGTTCAAGGCACCGAATGAGCTCCTGGCACAAAATCCCACTCACAGTCTGATGGAGGAGTAGGGCACCAGGACACTGTTCAATGCCAACTAAATAAGGTTTCACTTTCACATGTACTTTACTTCAGCCCTAAGCTTTTCTCTTCTTTAAAAAGCAAGAGATAGTTAAATTTATAAACTGCAGGTACTTCCCCTGGCATTTTTGGCATTTTTGTATGCTGTACACAGTCAGATGGCTTCCTACAGTTATTCTGTCTTTTATCTCCTCTTTTCCTTGCATTTTTTTTTTTGCCTTTCCCCTTCAGGTTCCTAATATTGCTTCACCTTCTGGGCATTTTCTGCTCTCAACGTGCTGGTGGTTTAAGCTCTAGGTCAGCAGCAAGTGTTGCTCTCTGAAGAGTTCAGAGAGTCTAAAAATGCCTTTTAGTAGGAGCATGAGTTTTCTCATTAGCACTTGTAAGGTTCACTGTGCCAGAGGGACAGTGTCACAGTGAACAGAAACCAAAATGCTCACAGCCCATCTCTGCCAGAGTGAAGGGTACCTGTCACCTGGAGATACCTGGATGTCCTACTTAGGGACACTAATTAACAACCAAAAAAAACTCATTTGAATTTTTGGGAGGGTTTGTTCTCCCTACTGGATCTTGTCATGAATGCAGTCAGTGAGACATCTGCCTTGCCTGGGGGCAAAGAACAGCAGACCAGGGGCCAGAGGAGGGCTGGTTCCCAAATCCAGGGCTCAGCATACCAGGACAAGCGTATGGGGGACAGGGGTTTGGATAGAGCGCCCAAGGCACAGCCCCAAGCAGGGATTCAGTTTTAATCTGGGTCTCTGAAAAAGCTTCCTCTCAAGTCACTGTGCTGTCACAGGGGGCCACATCCCCCCTCTTTCAGCAGCACATATTTTCCAACATTTCGTCAACTTCTTTCTGAAACAGAAACTGTCATTTTTATGTGATCTCTCCCAGCATCGTTAATGAATTACCAACACTGATGTGGCATCTTACCGGTTATGGTGCTCCTTACTAAAGATTTCAGACCTCATTTTCAACTTCCTGCTTATGTTTATTTAATTAAACTGATGACTGATTTCAGGGCAATAGTTGTTAAATGTTATTTTCCAATTCCCTTTTAGATATTTTGCTAATGAAAACCACATTACATTCATGGTGTACACTACAGCCTTTGCTTATCCCGTACAATATACTACATTTACTTCACTTTCATTGCATTTAATATTCATGTGGCCCATACCTGAAGCAGAGGTGACCTTTTGGAAGGCTAAACACTCGTAATGTGAATAAACCTCCTCCTCTACAGCAGCAGATTTGTGTGGGGTTTAGTGAAAAATGGGTAACACTTGCACAGATTGTTTTTCCACATGCAAATTAGTAGTAGTAGTACAGACAATAATTATTACCATAATGAATACTTTGAAAATTAAAAAAGTACCTCTGCAGTTCTTTGCCATTGGCCCTGTAGGGATTTTGGCACTCTCCTGATGCCACGGGCAGGAGCTGCAGGTCAGTGGTCCCACGAACACTGGGCAATTCCCACTTTGCTGGCTGGGGGTCAGAAGCCAATTTATAAGGTGTTCCCCAGGGTTGTGCAGCTGCATGAGCTTCTGGTATCCCACCTTTCTCACTCACTACACATTCAGCAAGGGAAAGACACAGTAATGCATTAAAACACTGCTGGAGCAGAGCTGTAATATTTACCTGATTATAATTATTTCTCTTCATATGTACAAACACTCTCAAGCATCACTTTACCCATTACTTCAGATTACCTGGTCACGTCTTCAAACAACTACTTAAAAATAACAGTTAAAGTCACTAACTATTCAAAATATCAAAACCAGCAAATTTTGAATGCTCATCTGAGAAGAGACAAGATTGGCACTGGGGGTAATACAAGAGGCAATTACAGGTAATGCAAGAGAGATGGAGGAAAAAGGATTACGGACATGTGGAAGGAAGCCAGGAACTGATATGTGGGAGTTTGTGATGTCTACTAACAGTTTTCTTTGATGAATATATTACTAGACAACATTTAAACACAACTTAATAATAGCTGTATGTCAAAATTATCCTAAAATGAATTGCTTCCAGTCTAGCAAGTTAATATTAATTTAAGGCCAAAGCAATGATTCAAGAAAGTTTCCAGAGACGATGGGAAAGATTAACAACATTGCTGAAAATGTTTTAGTGCCGTGATACTCTTCTAAGTTTCTCCTCAGTGGAGAGTCTTTGAAACAGTCAGCAGTACAATATGGCAGCTTAGAAATGCTCCTTCAAACAGGAAAAAAAAAGACACAACCTGAAGAAGGTGACAGATGCATTTGATACTTGTGTCTGTTTTCACACTGGCTTCTCAAACTACCTCAGCAATAAGCACTAGATTAAGTAAAGCCTTACAAGTGCTAAAGCTGAAAGGTATGGAAACCAAAAGGAAAGGGAAGACAGTTTATGGCTTCCAGGCAGAGTTAAATTCTGGCAGATTAAATTGGAGTGAAAACATCTTGTCAATTAATTAGTGCCTTTATTATTTTAACTGGCGCTCTGCTGCCCCTGAAGGTAAATAGTTTTTAAAGACCAAAACAGAAAAGCAAAGCTCCTCCCTGAAAACCCAGTGGGCAGATTTGGCTGAGATAAAACTGCAGAGGCTGCTGAGCACCAGTGATTTATTGGGAAAGGAACAGACAGTGCAGGACATAGAGGGGCTGGAAGGAGCGGGACATGCCAGAGGAGTCGTCCTAGCGAGGAGCTGCTCATCAAAGGCAGGGAAAGTGGCCTTCCTGATGCAGGAAGGTGAGCTGTAAAATAAATTGTAGCAATTGGAAGTAGCCAGAACAAGCAGAAATGCAGGGTCTGAGTGGGAATTGTCCAAAACCTGAAGGTAACAGAACTGACACTGAACCGTACTGTGCATTATTGTAAGTGCAAGAGCCAGCTTAGCAGCAAGAAAGATACTCCTACAAAGTGGGCATCTGAAGAGCCATCCAGAATGACTGATCATTGCTTCCCAGGCAGCCTGCAACAGAGGGCTGTGATCTAAGACTGGGGTTTTTCAAAGTTTCTTTAGACACAAGTTTCCTGAAGTTTGTTCAGTACGTGCACAAAATGCACCCAACACCAGAACCCTCCAGAAAAGAAAAGGCAGGTTCTGCAGACAGTTTTTCAGAACATGACACTCTCCTCCTGTGTTTGTGTTGAACTAACTCCCAGTTTGGTGCTGGGGAAATTGAGCTGCTGGAAAGGCAATCTTTCTTTTAAGAAATACAACCAAAATCTTAAAATTTATTTTTAAGCGATTACATCATGATACTTTAAAAGAAAGAAAGAAACAAGACTTTTAACCCCAAGGTCTTGGCCAGCTTGCGTTCTGCCTCACCAAAAGTTTCAGCAGAAGTGATTTCTCCTGGGCTGTTGGATGTGTCAGGAGGGGAGAGCAGCCAGACCCTGGCTGGCAGGGATGCTCCCCTCCCCACGGCTGGCAGCAATTTGCCCCATGCTCAGCAGTTTTGGGCCTCTAAAGTGAAATGAATCAGCTGCAAAACTGGTTTAACAAACTGGATAAACCAGGCTTAAGGCTGCACAGACACCAGCAGCTCCAGCAGAGGCACTGGGTGATGACAATGCTGGTAACAGGCTGAGAACTGAGAAGGACAGAAGAAAAAGGGATGTATCTGAAAGCCAAAGAGAAAACTCTCAGCAGGGTAGCTTCCTTGCTGGAACAGCAGCATTGGTGTTTGGAGCCAGGGAAAAGCAGGAACACAAACAGAAGCCCCAGAGATGGCTGCAATGCTGTGCAAAAGCTCGGGGGGAAAGGTGGGAAAAGAGACAGAGCAGCCTCACAGAGGGAAAATCCAAAGGGATGAATCCAAAACACAAGGAAATGCAGTGTCAGTTCTCTACCAAGGCTGGCAACAGGTTACTGTGTGCATGCTGCCAAAAGGAGCAAATGAACTATTTTTCATTAAAAACAATAAAGTGATGAACAACACTCAGGAAGCCTTAGCTCCTTCTTCCCAAACAAGACTCCACAGAACCAGATGCAGAACAAACCTCGAGGTGATATCCAGGCTGGCAATGAGCTGCCTTGGCTCTCACCAACCTGCTCTCATTTGAGTCTAGTTCCAGTTCCTTTCTTCAGTCTTCTGCTGGTTTTGTTCATTTTGCCTACATATTTTTCAGAGCAAAAGGATGGTGGTGTTGCAGCTGTGGCTTAACTGTCTGGAATTTGCACTCCCCACACACTGCTGTAACACAAAAAATTATTTGTGATAATGATATACAAGTGTCTTATGGATGATCCATCTCTGGCCAAAGATGAGGTGCAAACCTCCATTTTCAGGCTTCCAGATTTCTAAATAGCATCTGATAACAGTGAGTGATGCAATTGCCTTGCTTTCAATATCCCAGAGGGGCAATCTCCAGCAAGCCCACAACTAACTCCACTTTTGACCATGTGAAAGGGGTTTTGTTTTCTGTTTTGTAGAGTTTTTACTGTACCTGATGGAGAGCTGGGCACTAAGCAGGACGTGCACAAAGGCTGGGCTGCACAGTAACATAAGTGAAGTCAGAAGCTCAAAGAAGCTTCAGCACATTCAGTATCCGAGCCTGGGCTCGTTCAGTGCCTGGGTACAGCTGTTACACGAGCAGACAGTCAAGTGCAAACACTGAGCTGTGAAGTGTCTCACCACTTGCCAGGTCTTCCCACTGTGCAAGAGTTTGCATCACAGTACATTTAATTACAGTGTTTTGACTAGAACCAGCTTTTTCCTTTCAGCCAAGCAGAAAAGTAACAGAGTAATTAAAAAAGTAATGAAAACTCAGTAAAAATTCCTTAAACCAGGGACCACATTCAGTTGTGATTTCAAAGAGCATATGTCAAGGAAGACTCCTGCTCACTGTCATTCAGCAGGTTGTTAAAAAGTTTCAAAAATGAAATAAAAGTTAATGCAAGTCATGAGGTCTATTCTTTTGTGTTAATTTTTAACTATCTTTCCTATTTGAAGCACAAGTAGAGAGCACAAAACACAGTCAGAGTAGTAACTTAGAGAACTTCATCCTGTGGCTTACAAAGTTATTTTATGCAAAAAACCATGCTGGCGTCAATGGAAGAATTTGCACAGCCAGAACATGTAGGTGACAGAATCAGACCCAAAGCTTTCAGATATTGGTTACACTTACAGGTATCTGCTTTGCAGGAAAATCTTCCTAGGAAGTGTGGCTGATATTTCAGCATGCCAGACTCACTGCATTGAAAAGCAGTGAAGAAAGCTTCCTTTCATGGCATCAGGAGGTGCTGAAAAGATGATGGTAATTTAAACCATCATCACAAAATGTATCCAGCCTTATGCAGATAGTCTTGTGAATTTACTTTTGCTGTCAAAAGATTGTTTTTAAAATAAGCCTTGACTCAGGATAGCATGTAAAATAACATTTTAGACTGCAATTTTTAGGCAGTAATCAAAGTCCTATTCCTCATTTGCAAAGTCCTAATACTTCAAAACGTTAATTTAGTCTAGTGTTTCTTTCTTTTATGGGAATTTATAAAATATTATATAGGAGAAACATAGCAATCAGGCTCAGCCCAGAAAATAAAGGGCTTTTAGGCCCTCTAATGAGTTGTGTAAGAACAGTGTACTGCAAAAAGGCCTGCATGTCATACATCTCTCCCTCATTGTAAAACACTGTTCTTAGATTTTACTGCAGCCAAAACAACTTCATCTTTTTAATTAAAAAAAAGGTTTCTGATTTCACTACGCTTGTGTAGGACAAATATATTCTGAGTTCTTGAAATCATGTTGCAGCAGCAGTGAATTAAAAGAGGCAGGAGCGAAAGCGTATGGAAGGGACAGCCCTGATGCTCACTGGTGCCAACTGATGCTGTCTCACACGTCACAAAGTCTCAAAATAAATCATCATCTCAAAAATATAAAATCTCAAATTTTCCCGGAAAACAAACAGCATTCCACACTCCCAGAGTGCCTGGAGGAGCGTGCAGCGTCCTCATGTCTGCCATCCCCTCCCACTGCTGAGCACTGCTGGAGCTGGGGAGCTGACTTGGGCCTTTCTGCACCACCTGCAGCCCAAAAAGAGGGGCCTCAGCCGGTCTGTACTCTCACAACCCCCAGAACTGCCCAGCTTTAGGTGACAAAGCCACCTCAGCTGTCAAACTGCTTTGCCTTCTTACACTTCGTGCTAAAAGTGTCCCAGCTATTTGTGACACGGGGCAGAGAAGTGGCATAAAATAAACAGGATGTGTTTGGGACTGTCAGACTCCAAGTCTAGTAGCCACTGAATAAAGAATAATTTTAGTTTATGGTTTTGCATCTGTTCTTAGAAAAGATGAATTTCTGCCCGTTTGGATGTGATTTGTTCTGTTTTGTTTGGTTTTTTTAAAGATGAAGTGATGAATACAGCAGGTCAGAGTCTGAAGATACCCACACACTATTCCAAGTAAATGCTATTTCACTCACTCAGCTGCAGTGAACAGCTTTTTCTAGCAGGGCTGGTTTCAAACACGGCACACTTGTAACAGGATAAATCCCACCATTGAAGAGGTTTAGCCCAGCTATGATTGTCAAAACCTGTCTATCACAAGGTCTGCTTCTCCACTACTCAGAGAATTAACAATGAA